TTATTTTACTTCCTTTTATGTAAAGCACTTTGAATTACCATTGTGAAATGTGCTATATAAATAAACTTGCTTTGCCTTGCCTTGCCTTGCCTATTGTGTCTGCAGGTCCCTATTGTTTCTGACACATTTGTGTAGCGTTGTTAGCTATATTTAACAAATACTCTGTAACACCCCTCAGTACAGACAGTTGACCCTGAGAGGTCAAGTAAATACTTACAGCGGATCTAAATATTTATAGTTAATTATAACTAGTTATGATTAATTATTCATATTTCCCCTTGAGCTGATTCGCTACATTTGTCTAAACTGACTTTAATAAATCTTGAGAAATTCTAGTGTGGCAAGTAGCCCCTCTCTCCTCTACAGACCAAAGTGGTGGAGTGCTATTCACAAAACACTGTGCCATATCTAAAAAAATGAGCAATACTGTGATAATTTTGTGCATATTTTAATCCATTCACTTTTGAATGTCAACTATGTAAATATAAAATACAAATTTATGTAGAAAATGGAAATTATTTGAACAATATAAAGTCTATAATAAGCATCAAACATACAATACAAGCTCAAAAAGATTTGTTTACCAAATTTTATACTGGCATTAGTAAATGTTGCAGGTAGGATGAATACATCCACAGAGGAAATCTGGCCACAGAGCATATTTCTGGTTGTACGGTGCCTTTCGGAGGCATCTGGCTGTTTCCCTGTCACATCGGCAGAGGATTTTCGCACATCTGTCATTAAGTGCATCTGCGTTGAAGACATAAACGTAAATTGTCGGCTGTGTAAAATGAGTAGTTTGCATACAGAGTAAAGGAAACCATTCTTTAACCATGCATTATGCCTCTTCAACAATATACTGAGTGTTTCCTATAGTGCGTTATGGTGTTTACTGCAGGAACAAGATCTAAAAATATATTGTGGTTTGGTTAAAAACACTGCCTCTTTTTAGCCTGAAGTCTCCCATCTGTTACAATACACACCCAGTATTACTACTACTTCCTGAAGCTGGAGTAAAAGACCAAACAAATCATTTTTAGTCATATTTTTTCCACAAGTTTACTTTCCCTTTTAAGGTTTACTGACTTTTTCTGTTTCTTATTTGACCACAGGCTATTATAATGTAAAAAGTGATTCTAAAAGAATTTAAATATGCCAGTTTAATATCTAAATAACACATCATACCGCAGTCAACCTCCTCTTCTTCACACGTCCACTGATACCTGTCCGTTTTTGTCTGACAGCCTGCGAATTCTGCATCCCCATAACAGCAGTCATGTTTGTGGCAACACCTAAAGAAGAACAAATGCCCTTGAGATTATCTGTAATGAAATGACACAGAGAACCTAGCCCAGTTCTGTCTGGTTTTGAATTGTTTTGTCATTATGTAACATATAATTCAAGTAGACTTGCAGAAGTACAATGTGATCTCATACATTGGGGGCCGCTAAGAATGTCGGCCAGATAAACTGCTAACTTTGTAAGATTAGATTGAGCAATCCCTCTGTGGAATGTGGTGTAATAATATCAGCAGATTTGTTTATTCGTTTTCATCCCATTGTCTACTTCCGAAGAGCTCTTTCACTGGGAACGGCGATATTGGTCTCTGCATCCTAAACTGAGGTTAAGGGGAATTGTAATTTTGTGTGTGGGAGAGCTGGGAGTAAGCCTTTTCCGGATGTCTGAGGGAATGCCACAGAAATGGACACACTTTGACCAAGATGCATGTAGTAAATTTAACAAGAAAAAGCAAATTGAAAAAACAATATTTGTTGCTTCTGTTACACAGAACTGCACAGATATTTGTAGGTAATGTGGTGTCTTACCAGTCTGCTCTGTCTCTGGGCCACCCTTGACCCCCGAGACCACAGTAACATCCATACATCACATAAGTTAAAGCTGATCGTCCCGTGCTGCACTTGATCACGCCAGCTAGTTCCAGCAAACCTCTTTTGCTCCGTGAAGACCTCTGTGGCTGCAGGGAAGCCATACTGACTGAAAAGAGTCAAACGGTGAATTTAGTCAAGGCTTTTCATTGAAACATAACCAATTTTCCTTATATTTATTTGTTTAGACATTTAACATATTATGCTGTTCACTTTTTAAAAATATTTTGCCACTTATAATGCTATGTTATGATACAATATCCCATTTTGCATTTATGTACGTTATTGTAACTCTTACATTTACGTAAGTTATCTTCTGTAACTCTCACGGAACAACCTCAAATCTATTGTCCAGAGTTTCCCAAGGAAAGAATAGGGCCATTTTTCACCAATGCAGTGTCAGATTCCACTGATGAAGTGTTAGATTCCAGTTGTGTGGGGTCTAAATGATGACCGTTTCGCTCTTAGTCATAAGTTTATATTTTTTTTATGATTTCCTTGAATTACTTAATTTATCTATGCTGTACAAAATTCATTTTCTAAAATTTTGTAAATTATTTTCTAAAATGTAATTTTTCAAGTTGTAAATAAAACTAAGATTATTTGAGTATGTTTTACATGAAAATATTATTTTGGTCTTTCGGATACTTCAAAATATCATGTTTCATTTATTGTATTACTTGTCATTTCTTTGTAATTATTTGTGAAGTTTCCTAGCAATTTCTAAGTGAATTTTTTCAAGTAATTTGTCAGCCTACTTTTGTCCACTCTGCCCTACTTACATAAAATAATAATAATAATAAATAAATAAATGAAGTTAGCTTAGGTTTAAACTTTAAAATAAACATTTACAACTGTGCAAGTTTGACTGTATTGTCGAAAAGTTTTTAAAACATTAGAATTAATTGTTACAAGCTACTATGAGTAAATGCATGCATTTTAAAAATACTAAATGCATTACTCAAAGAAGCTTTTAACAATTATTTTTATTTTTAATAAATAAATTAACTATATATAGCCTAGTATTCACACAAACACTACATGTCCAGTAGCACCCTAATCATATTTAATTTAATAAAAATGTCGATGTGATATAAGAAAGCAGTGTGAGAGTGAATAGTTAAATGAGATGTGAGCAGCCTCACCTGTAAATAGCAGGAATGTGTGATACAGCGCAGTCATTGTGCTCACAGGTAATAGTCCAGTCTCTGCTCAGTCTCGGATAAACAGACTTCCTCAGTGCTGGGCTTTATTTAGATACTGAGTAATCTCAGGACATCACTCCTACTGTAATCCTCACACTCTCTCACTCCTGGAGGCTGCTGTTTCCTCAGGGTTAAAATTATGTTAAAAGTTAAGGTCTGGGAGTGTTGGATAATGTACCCCCTCTGATGACTGGTTTGGTGTTCAGCTCGGGACCGCCCTATGATGGCTGGTTGGCTTTTTCATACAAACAGCTTGAGCTGGATCAGCTGCCAACTGGGAGGTCATGATCGAACACGCCAGCACACCGTTATTTGCTCCCTCCTGCATCTGTATATAAACTATTCATGAACTGATTTAGACTTTAGGGCCACACCGCAGTCTGGACAACTGGAACAATTCGGAAAATCTACACTGTAACATCCGATGTAGTATTTTGCACTTTGTATACATGATTATTAGTATTACGATTCTTTCTGGAATATTTGATTCTGATTGGTCAATCGAGGCCTATTTCCTACATTAATTGTGACCCTGGAGCACAAAACCAGTCATGAGTAGGACGGGTATATTTGTAGCAATAGCCAACAATTCATTGTATGGGTCAAAATTATTGATTTTTCTTTTAGGCCAAAAATCATTAGGATATTAAGTAAAGATCATGTTCCATGAAGATATTTTGTCAATTTCCTACCATACATATATCAAAACTTAATTTTTGATTAGTAATATGCATTGCTAAGAACTTCATTTGGACAACTTTAAAGGCGATTTTCTCAATATTTTGATTTTTTTGCGCCCTCAGATTCCAGATTTTCAAATAGTTGTATCTCGGCCAAATATTGTCCTATCCTAACAAACCATACATCAATGGAAAGCTTATTTATTCAGGCGATGTATAAATCTTTCAGGTGATGTATAAATCTCAATTTCAATTGGCTTTGTGCTCCACGGTCACAATTATGCAGGTGTTTCTCTCCTCTTTCTTCTCACAAAATAATTTAAACTCAATTAAAATAAATGTTCTATCTTGTGCATTTATTCATTTGGTAAGTAGACAAATTTAAATGCAACTGAATTGACAAATAAGCACTATTTAAAGGCAATTGAATCTGGGCTTGTTTTCCCTTTTCTTTTTAAAGTAAAGCTCTTCTCAGAGCTGTTTCTTCGCTTAGGATCCATTTTACGTAGACTATTAATCTTCATTGGCTATTTTTACATATTAGAGTTGACTCTATTTGTTTTAATAGCATCTTTGTTAACATTTTGTCTGTATTGAGGAGCCTAATCTGTGCAAAGACAGATTCAATATCCATTTTATTTTTCAAGGTGTTAGTAGTTTAGGTTTAAAAATCCGTCAAAATAGGCCACTGACTGTATTAATAAGAAGGGGGTTTTTTTTCAGGTGTTTTACCTGTATTTTGAATTTTGCACTACTTTAATGCACACAGCAATAACAAAGTAATTCAAAAACCATAGAGAAAATATATATATATACAATTGTATGTTTTATATTGATTTAGCCAGTTAGCATGCCATCAGTTTGGAAATGAACGCAGCTGTTTTTGAGAGTGTCTGAAGGGGGCGCTGTAACCTTCTTCAGCCGCTAAACGAAAAAGTGAACAAGACGACTCACGAAGATCACGTTGCCCAAAGAAGAGGCAGAGACCAATTTCTTTAACATCTAATTTATGCAACGTGATTAATATGTTCGTTCATCGAGGCCTCACACTCCATCCCAGTAGGTGGCGGAAATGCACCTTAAGCTGGTTTGCCAGCCGCCATTAAACACAAAAGAAGAAGAAGAAAGAAGAGGCAGGATTGGGCAGGTAGGCTGGCTCTGGCTCGGAGCCGATCCGGGTCCTGCTGCTGACGTCGCTGACGGATCACGAGGAACGGAGTCGGGCGTCATGGCGAAGGAAAGACGCCGTGGCGGGTTTGGCGATGACTCATGTCAAACAGGTAGGCATTATCACAAAGTACAAAGGAGTATAAAGAGAAGAAAAATCATTCATAACATAAGTAGAAGGGAACAAGTCATTTTAACACATATACGAACAGGACATTCAAATCTTAACCAAACACTATACATTATAGGGAAACATAATACTGGTCTATGTAATGTTTGTTTAACAGAGGAATCAGTGGAACACGTTATGATGGTATGTACAGCATATGAAAGAGAAAGGGATCGACTTAAAGATGAATTACAATCCTTAGGAGTTAAAGAATTTTCATTAAGTAGTATTCTGAATGATGGTCCAAATGCAGGAAAACAAATAAGTGCAGTCATGAGATTTCTTAAGAATTGTGGAATAATGAACAGAATTTAAGATTTAGGTGAGTACATTCTCTTCACACTCCATCACAGTAGGTGGCGGTATGCATCTATGAAGTTGGTTCGCAACCCGCCATAAAACCAAAAGAAGAAGAAGGTTGGCTCTGGAGTCGGAGGCGGTGTGGCAACAGCTGATCTGTGGCTGGAGAGTGCATGGTAGGAAGTGGCGTAGATTCCGGAAGTGATCCGGAAATGGAGGATGAAGTGTTTGACGCGGATGAAGGCGGGAATGGAAATAATGAATGGAGTATAGTAGAAAATCGAAAAAGAAAGAAAAGCTGGAGTAACGCATCTGCAACTGACAGTGAAAATGGAACACATCTGACAAGAAGAAGGAAGGAAGAGTATAAGGTAGTGATGAAACTTGAAACCGGATCTTTCAGTATCATTAATCCGCTGAAATTATCTAAAACAATTAAGGAAGTGATAGGACTGATTGAAAGTGTTAAGAAGTTGAGGGATGGTAGATTGATAATATATTGTAAGGATAGTAGGCAACAAAAGAAGGCTCTAGGAGTTAAATCGATCATGGGACAAAGTGTGATTTGTTCAGTACAAGAAGAAAAGAAATGGGTGAAAGGAGTAATAACAGGGATCCCCACAGATGTAACAGTTGAAAAGATTAAGAGAGGTCTTACGGGAGCCGCAGTGATTGAGGTGAAAAGACTAAAATGCAATAGGAATAATGAAAGGGGAGACAGTCTCTCTGTGATGATTCATTTTGATGAGGATAAGCTGCCTAGTAAAGTCTTTTTGGGATTTATGAGCTTCTCGGTCAGGCCCTATGTACCCCCTCCTCTAAGATGTTACAAATGCCAAAAGTTTGGGCATGTAGCGGCTGTATGCAGAGGCAAACAGAGGTGCGCAAGATGCGGCGGAGATGACAAAGCAGAGATGTTAGTGGAAGCATTCGTAAAGGTGCACAGTAATGGTAATATTTCAGATAATATGAGGAGATATAGGGAACAGAAAGTTAGGGAGAATGTTCACATTTATGTAAAGAAGAATCCATCAGGAAGTATGTTAGACTCAGAATTAACTTTGTATGAGTTAAAGAGAGCGCTTGCAGGGGTCAAACATACTTCTCCAGGCAAGGATGACATATGCTATGAGATGATAAAGCACTTATCAGAATTATCATTAAGTATGATTTTAAGACTTTTTAACAAAATATGGGAGACAGGGAATTTGCCAGAAGATTGGAAGCATGGGGTCATAGTGCCAATAGCCAAACCAGGAAAAGACAAGTCTCAGCCAATTAATTATAGACCTATTGCGCTGACATCAAATTTATGCAAACTTATGGAACGGATGGTTATGAACAGGTTGACTTATGTGATTGAAAGTAGAAACATATTTTCAGCATGTCAAAGTGGATTTAGAAAAGGGAGAAATACGATGGATTTAATATTGTGTTTGGAAGCTGAAATTCGAAAAGCTCAAATTAATAAAGAGGTGCTTGTGGGAGTCTTTTTTGATGTAGAAAAAGCTTACGATATGTTGTGGACAGAGGGGCTTTTAATGAAATTGGAAAGCTTGAGAATTGATGGAAAAATGTATAACTGGATTCTGAGTTTCTTGTTTGGAAGAACAATTCAAGTAAGAGTAGGGACTGCTTTTTCTCAGATTCTCCCAATTGAGAATGGTACTCCCCAGGGAAGTGTGAGCAGTCCTATTCTTTTTAATTTAATGATAAATGACATCTTTCATAACGTTGATACTGGAATAGGAAGATCATTGTATGCGGATGATGGAGCACTATGGAAAAGGGGGCGCAATGTTTTATTTGTAGAAAATAAAATGCAAAAAGCAGTGAATGAGGTGGAGAATTGGGCGAATTGTTGGGGTTTTCGGTTTTCTGTGGCAAAAACACAAGTAATATGCTTTTCGAAAAAGAATCCAAGTTTGAATGTCAAAATGTATGGTTATCAGCTGGAACAAGTAAATGTACTAAGATTTTTGGGTATGTGGATGGACTCTAAATTAAATTTTAAAATTCATATTCAGAAATTGATAGAAAAGTGCAAAAAAGGAATAAATGTCTTAAGGTGCTTGTCCGGAGCTGAGTGGGGGGCAAGCTGTCAGTCATTGAAAAGAATTTATGGTGCTGTGATTAGGTCAAACATAGATTATGGTAGTGTAGTTTATAGTTCTGCGAACAAAACCTTACTTAAAAAGATAGAGGTAATACAAAATCAAGCTTTGCGCATTTGCTGTGGAGCATTTAGATCTTCTCCGGTGGCTTCATTACAAGTTGAAATGGGAGAATTGCCTCTAGAACAGCGTAGGTTTCAGCTGAGATTAAGGTACTGGTATGGTGTAAAGGGACATCTGGAAAACCATCCAGTTAAACTAATTCTGAAAGATTGTTGGGAATATGAATACAAAGAAATTACAAGCTTTGGTTGGGTAGTAAGGAAGGAGGCAAACAGCTTGGAGTTGAAAGACCATGAAATTGCTCCTTCTGTTGCAATTCCTCCAATTCCTCCTTGGTTGTTCCCTATGCCACTAATTGATTTACAAATTCACAAAGTAATAAAGATGAACATGATGAACATGCCAACTGAAGTAGTAGTTCAACAATATATAAAACAAGAGTATTATTCTGTGTTACAGGTATTTACAGATGGGTCTAAGGAGCCAGAGTCTGGGAGAACAGCAGCAGCAGTTTATATTCCTACTTTTAAAATAAAAATGGCTAAAAGATTATCAGATCATGTGTCAGTTTTTACTACCGAATTATTAGCTATCATACTAGCTCTACAGTGGATTGAAGAAGTTCAACCAGATAGAACTGTGATATGTACTGACTCAATGGCTGCGCTCACTAGCCTACTAAGTGGTAAATCTGAAGCTCGGCAAGACTTAGTATTTGAAGTTTTACAAAGTTTGTTTAGAATAAGGCAGTTAAGGATAGAGGTACGATTCCTCTGGGTGCCTGCACATGTGGGTGTGGATGGAAATGAGGAAGTAGACTTGCTAGCAAAGAAAGCATTAAATCATACACAAATAGAAATTAAGTTAGCT